TAAAAGTACTTTCAGAGGAAAATTCTATTAAGTGTCTAAATGAATGCTTTGAGAACAAATGGGTTTCTGTGAATTTGGCCACAACAATTTATAGCATACATTGGCTGGAGCTGTTCAGCACTGACAAATTCCAGGAAGTAATTGCATAAAATACTTGGAGAGGAAATCGCTTTATGCTTCCATGCTATTTATGGAAATTAGCATCTTTGTAAAAATAAACCGAGAGTGATCACAATCGTAAACCCTGAAATGTGGTCTCCGTGATGCTAGGCTTGTGCTTCCAGACCGTTAGTGACACAGTGGAAGAACACTGCTCATTTCGCTCCTGTTATAAAACAACTACATGTAATTGTGGTTTTCTTCCCCTTGTATTTTTAATCTTTGCTTTCTCTCAGAAGCGTCCTGTGTACAGCTCAGATATGATGAAGTGCAGTTTGTGGAGAAAACTTTCTTGTCGTTCCATTTTCCTCCCGAAGACAATGCACATCCCTCTTTCGGGGCCTCAGCTGTCTCTGATCCCCATCACGCTTCTGTACTGAGTTCTTCATTCCCATCAGCCCCTCCAACCTAGTCCTTCGAAGTGAACCAAACGTTTTCCAAGATCAAGGTGAAACTTTGCGCTCCTTGCCCTAATCCTAACACAAAACCTGAAAGAACCTTCAGTGTTTCTATTTTTCTCTATTCCTCTTAATCCCTCACCAAGTTCTGTCCCCATCAAGGTGGTTCTAAAGGGTCCCTGCCTGCATTTGCAACTTTTTGGCAATTAAGCCTCCCACCGCTTCTGCAATGCAGGACTCAGCATTACCAGGTGGCACTCGTGCCTGGAACCTCCTAACGGTATCTGTTCCCATGAGTCCCCAGCAGCACAACAGTCCTGATAGTGCTTCCTGCCACCTGGTCCAGGCTGCAAAGACTCTGTGCTTAGTTCTTAGGATGCTCTTCAGGCTCCTCCTCACATTCGCCACAAACCGTCCCCATCCATCTTTGCCTCCTAACCCTTGCTTGCCATGTTTCTACTCTTCAAATGCGTGGTGTCTCTGGAAACCCAGCAGAGAAGACAGAGTCAAGAGGCATTTCTGAGCTGGCAACTCATGACTAAGTGAGTACAGGGCAAAGACAACAGGGGAGACATTTGAATATCCAGGGTATTCAATGGCTAGTTGATGGTGAACCAAGAAGATAGAGATAAGATAAGAATATGAGTACAAATGTGGATATCTGGGGCTGAGGAGACTGCTCAGTTCCTGTGCAGTCATGAGGATCTGCCTTCAGGTCCTTAGCACCCATGAAAAAATGGGTCATAGCAGTATGTTCTTATAACCCCATTCCTGGAATGTGGTAAGGGGGGGGGCTGTGGGAAGTGTAAAATTTGCATACAGGATGAGTGTAGGTTTTCTGCTCAGGTTCCATCGAAATCATCACAGGGACAAGTTTACACAGAAAGTACATTCATGACATAAAATGTGGAGTAGCGGGGAAACTACGAGAACCAAAGCAGAACGGAGAGGAGGAAAGCCATGAAGAAAACCAAGTGTCTGGTGAAGCACATTCCACAAAGAAAGAATGACTCTAGAGAAATGGCCAAACAGCGAGCAAGGGTGTGAGCTGCATAAGGTGTTCCTACATGCGGTGAATAGTCAGGCAGATGCAATGGTCCATGTCTGTGACCCTAAAGCTGTGGAGGAAGTGCAGACATGTGGATCCGTGGAAGTCACTGGTCACCCAGTTGACCAGTCAGACGTCTCTGAGTTCAGTAAAAGGTTGTCTCAAAAGAAGAGTGATAGTGGAAGATATCCAGTGTCAAAATCTGGCACACACACACACACACACACATGCACACACACACACACACGCACACACACAGCACCTACACAGAGAAGGGGGGTGTTGGAGGTTGGGCAAATAATAATAAATATTATATAGCCCAACACTTTTTTTATTTACTGCAACAGGGGAGAGAAAGAGAGAGAACAAAACATATATATGTATACATATATGCATAAACATATATAAATATATATATAATTGTATTAGAAATCTGAAATGAGTTTTGTGAACTAAACTCCAGGTTCACCAGGGCCAGTAATACTTCTGAAGACTCTATGGGAGAATCCACTCTTTGTCTCTCCCATCTTCTAGAAGTTTCCAGCATCTCTTAGCTCCTGGCTACATTACTCTTTCAGTTTCCATGGCAACATCTTCTACTTCCTCTGCCTCTCCTTCACCCTGAGTTCCACTTATGAGAAGCTCTGGGAAAACCTCCCCAAGTTCAACATCCTTACTTGCACGGAGAATCACTGGCTTCTGGGAATTAGGGTGTAGACATATTTGGGAGTCATTATTCGGGCCTCCGCACTTCCCAGAGGTGCCTACACTTTAGTTAGACCCCGTGGCCCCTTCAAAATCATAACAATCAAAACAGTAGAAACTCAGAGGGGTGGAAGAGCAACTGTTGTCTTCAGCAGGAAAATCAGACTCCAAGGGAAGAGCCAAAGCAACAGCAAGCTTCCAGGGACCAGTTGGCAAGAAGGGAGGCCTTTCCTACTGCCTGAGTGAGAGGAAGGAGCCTTCAGCTTCACCAGGTCAAACCCTGTGCCTGTAACAATAACTCGCAACCAGCAATTGTAAGAGTCTCTGTATTCCATGATGTAATAAGGAGAATCTCATTTTCATTAATTAGCTGGAATACCGCATACTTCTTAAAGCTCAGACTCTCACATCCGTTAGTCTTCTACCAACTACCTTGCAGCATACTTGGGAGGTAAGGGGAGAGAGACTGAGGGGCACCTTAAGCCCCATCCCAACCTTAAAATCATGACACTGATGGAAAACCTCTTACAGGGCTCAAGTGGGCCCGGGGGAAATACCAGAGACAGCCCTGTCCACTTCTGCAAGAACCTCCCTTGAGAAGATAGCCCCTACACCTAGAGTAGTTTGCGACTTTCGGCCTCCGCTCATGTCTCTTGAGCGCCCCCTACAGCTCCATAGTAGAATATGCAGGCACACAGCTATCCTCGAACCTTGAACAAGCCCAGCAATACAGTTAATATTAATTACCCACGTTCTTGCTTTCTTTCCCTGTTCTCCACTTCCCGGTGCATTGCCTCGTGCGGACAACTCTGCGAGGTGGGCACTGTTGGAAGTCCTTCTCTGCAAGTGCAGAAATAGACGCGATGCACAGATGTGTGACCCAGTCATAGATAGAGTGGCGGTACTGGGTGATGGACCTCCTGTCCATCAGCGGGTGGCCTGGATGACTGAGACAGCACCCATGAATCCTGTCTTCTGCAGCACCCTTCCATGTGCGCTACCGTGAGGCATGGAAACAGCAGCACCACAGGCACACAGATATGGAAAACTCCAAAGAGGCCACTGAGTGATTCAAGCTGGGCAAATACAGCCTTCGGGCAGCAGACTCAAGGCACACAGAGGTGGCAGAGAGGGTAGAGAGCAAAGGGAAATACTCCGCCTTGGAGGCTCAGCCCCATCTGACCAGGAAGGAACATTCCTTGTATCCTATTTCAGATCCCTTGATGAGATGGAAAAGTAGTAAAACCACCTTGCATTAACAACGACAAAATACCATGCTGTCCAGAGAAACTCTAAAGCATGCTCCCCCAAACCAAAACTTTTGTAAAGACTTATTTTATTTTAAAGTATGTGTATTTCTGTATGTGTCTATGGGTTGGGTGTGTGCACATGACTGTAGTTTCCTGTGGAAGCCAGAAGAGGGTGTCAGATCCTCAGGAGATGGCTGTTACCCTGGCGCAGGGAACTGAACTCAATTCTCTGCAAGAGCTGCAAGAGCTCTCCACCTCTGAGCTCGTAACCTCCATCCCCTTAGCCTTTGTTCTAACAAAATGTTTCCATTAAAATATGGTTACAGAGGAGCACTGTAAACCGGGATGAAGGGGATGATGTCCCTCACTAATCAGTTGTGTTTGAGCCACAGAATTGATGGGGTACTGAGAAAGGCTTAGAGGCAGTAAATCCAAGAGAATACCTCAAGAGGCAAGAGCCCCTGTTTCATTTACCGGGAGTATAGATTTTCATCCAGGCCTGCATGCTTGTTTAACAAACTTAAGCCTTTAAGTACTAGGCTGTCTGCTAAGACCATGAGGGCTCACAGACCTCAGCCAGAAAGTGAAACCCTCAGGGAAGTGTTGTCTTGTTCTAAGTCACATAAGACCTTGCACGGGATTAGCAGCCACCCTCAGGACACGGCATTAGCCGAAATGTTCCCTGCATTTTTAGGTCAGGGCCCACACACTTCTTGGCTGAATCCGGCTGCAAACATATTTGTCTTGATTTCACTTTGTTATGAAGCAGAGGGCTGGAGAAGAAATCTGGATGCCGCAGCTATCTTGAAACATAAGAAGACCCAGCAATCCTGGGCTTGAGTTCCCACTTAGCAATGACAAGCTGGTGTCAAGCAGAGACTGTTCTTAGTGGAGAGACATCTAGTTTCCACCTCGTCACCATCTCTGTCACTCCCTGTTGTCTCTTCTCCCCCTTGAGTTTGACCAGTAGATGAGGTAAGAGTGCAAGCTGTGCGCTCAGCTTCTCAGGCTGGGTGGAAGAAACAAGAACCCAGAGAAGCCGTTCTCAACCTATGAGTCGCGACTGGTCAACAGGCCCTTTCACAGGGGTTGCCTCAGACCTCCAGGAAACACAGGCATTTACCTTACCATTCGTAACAGCAGCAAAGTTACAGTGGTGAAGGAACAGCAAAACTAACATTATGATGGGGGGGGAGTCGCGCAGGAGGAAGTGTATCAAAGAGTTGGAGTGTTAAGAAGGTCGAGAACCACTGGTCTAGAGAGAGAACTGCAGGATAGTGAGATAGTTAACAGGTGAACCCAGAACACTTATTTAGTGGCTCAGCTAGTGTAGGAACCAGACTCCTCCTGGCCTCTAACCTGTGACCTCTCCTGGGCTCAGGCAGACAGCCACTCTGGTCAGAATAGGTAGAGGTAGGGTTCACCCAAGCCCCAAGTCACCAGGGCTACACGGGTCCACGGTGGCGTTAACTCCCCGCTGGAGATCCAGGCCTTTGACTTACGGAAGAAGCCAGCCACAACAGCATCTGCGGAAGAGTCCCTGGTGCAGTGTTAGCACGGGTCCTACGCCAGCTTACCTGGGCTAGAGTAATGTTCCTATGCAAAAAAGACTCTCACCTCCCGTTCTATTACCTGCAGGAGACCAGACAGCGTAAGGAGCGTCCGTGTCACCAGCCACCAGGGTCCCGTCCAGAAAGCCATAGGGTCCAACATCGAAGGAGTCTCCCTCACAGCCTACAAAAAGAAAAAGAAACCGCCTAGTTTTCCAACCGGCTCTGGCTCCAGAGGCGGACTCTGTGAGCTAAGAAACCAGTCGAGGGGCAGGGACCCTGACGCCCAGGCAATGTCTTGGAAACCTCTGTGTTGGCCCAGAATGGCCTGCTGCTGCGGGATGGAGGCAACGCGAGGCTCCCCTCAGGATGAGCCCACCAAGCCCGGGAGGGGGCAAAACTCCTACCTCCATCTCCGCCCCAGAAGTCGGAACGCCCCTGAGCCAGCCACCTCCCAGCTTGTCTGTCAGCACTAGGGTGTGGCTTCTGGCGTTTGTCCCCAGGAGCCAGCCCACAGCCAAGAGCCAGGGCACCTGCCAGCTTCGACTGCTTGAGGCAAAAACGAGTCTAAAGCCAACTAAACTAGATCAGAGACGGAAGGATCCTGCCTAAGGTCACACAGCAAAACGGAGACGCTAGGACTGGAACACAGATCGGATAGGTTCGAGGCGTTTCTTACCAGACAACTGAGCGCCCCCCCGCCTCCGAGAGGCGCAGTCCTTCAAAGCGCAGTCTCGTCAAGGTGAGGGGGAACTGAGCCCGGGAGGGCGACGGAGACCCCCACCCTCGCCCCAAGCTTATTCCTGTCAGTTTGCAGGGAACTGGGTTTGAGCGGAGACTGGAAAAGCCGAGGTCACACTCAACTCCCGCTTCGCCTCGCGGGCGCCTTGGCGGTGTCGGTGTCCGGGGGCGGGTCGGTGGCTTCTCTCCATCTGGAGAAAGCATTAAGGCCTGGCTTAATGCGATCCGCAAATGTGCTGCTGTTTCCGACCCGAGGCGAGGCGGCGACTCCGGGCCGAAAGGGAGGCGGCCGGGGCCGGCCCCCAGGACCGCGCGCCCCCCGCCGCTGGCTCACACCCTCGGCGCCCGCCACCCCCGCGCCTCCTTCCCCCTGCGCGCGGCTCGCCCCGCTCCTCTGCGCCCCGGGCGCGCGAGCCCCGAGACCAGCCCTCCTCTAGACCTTCCAAGCCCTCCGAGCCGCGATCGCATGGAGAGGGAGAGTGCTCCTCGCTCGCGGAGGACCCGCGGGGGGAGGGTGGTGTCTGCCCAACCCTCCTGGACCCGGCGTCGTGCGCGCCCGTCCTGCCCCGGGGCTGTCTAAGCCCCTCAGGGCCGTGCCACCCGCTTGTAAAAAACCCGCGAGCAACGCAGGACCCCTACGTGCCAGTGGCGTTTGCCCAGACTCACCATCCTCGGAGAGACCTGGCCCCGGACGTTCCCGCACCCAACCCCGGCGCCCGCCGCCACCGCGCCTGTCGGTGCCGCAGGGCTGCGCGCTGAGGGATGGAGGCGGACGGGACACCTGGTGCGGAGCGCGGGAGCCCGACGGTCCCCGACGCCGGCCTCCAGCCCGTGCCGCCGCCGCAGTTAAATGGGGCTGGGACGCGGCCGCCCCGCCTGTCCCGCCCCTCCGGGCGCGCGGAGCGCAGCGCTGGCCCCGGCCCAGGGGCGGAGGGCGCGCGCCGCCACCTGTGCCGCCCGCCCTGCCGGCCGGCGAGTGCCAGCCGCGTCCCCGGAGCTCGTCCAGCCGAGCCCGCCCGGCGTCCTCGGCCGCCTGCCCAGGGGCCCGATGGGGACCCGAGGACGAGCGGGCCACGGGGACCCGCAGCAACCGGGCGGCTCGGAGCGCGCCGGGCCGCCGCGGCCACGGCGAGACTCGGAGAGCTGGAACGCTTCTCCGCCCGCTTCCTGGAAGCCACTCCTCGCCCTGGGCCTGCAGCCAGGCCTGGTGCCAGGAGCCCCGGCTGCCGCCGCCGCCGCCGGCAGCGCGCTGGGGAGAAGCGGCCGCCGCGCCGCGGGCCAGCCAGGGCCAGGGCTAGGATGCCATCTCCTCCCTCCGCCACGGGCCGGCCCTGGGCGCGGCGTCTGCTGAGCCTTACCTCGCAAGGGGCTGTCCGGAGTCCCTGGCTCGTTCTGGGAGCCCAGGGCGCTTGACGGGCACCCATTCAACAGCCCCTGCGGTCCTGGAACTTTTAGCTGATGGGGATCGTGGGTGACCCAGCAGGAGCACCAAACCTGATGATACCTGGAGCTCCTGCTGTGAGGCAGGTTTGGGTGACCCCCAAACTCCAGACCTGTCAGAAAATAAATACAGGACTAGGCTTTGGAATGGAGGTGTCCCAGTCATGAATGGAGGTGGGGTGAGGGTGCCTTGGACGTTTCTGAAGGGAAGACTTGGAGGCCTTGGCTTCATCCCAACAGTAAGAGACAAGGGCCAGGTTGTTCCTTTAAAGGTCTGCACCATTTGGCCTCCAGCCTTAGTTCCCTTAAGTGAAGCTGCGTTGCCAAGTTGTGAGTGTAGCCAGCCTTCCCAAGAGCAGCACTTCCTAGAATTATCTTAATTCCTCAAGGAATAACTCGTCCGTGGTGACCAGGGAGGCCAGGTGTGGAACTGGTACCTACATCTCTCCAGAGTCTGAAACGTTTGCATCCAAGGTTGTTCTCCTGCCTGCTGGGAGGCTGACTCGCTCCAGATTCTGTTACAGCATAGCCAAGAGCTCCCCCAGCCCGCTGCCCTCATCTATTCTGACCTTCCCCGGTCAGGAGAACTCCTCTGGACAGGAAAAGAACCTCAGGGCTGTCCCTCCACTCCAGGGAGGAACGTGGCTGGAATCCTACGGAAATGAGCAGGTGATGAGTGGGAAAAGATTCGGGAGGAACCCAGAAAGGAGGGCAGGGCTAGACTATGACTACCTCACCTACTGTTCACCCTAGTTTAGCTCTGGACAAGGCACTTAGGGATCCATGGGATTATCCTGGAGCTGGTTCCCAGGAGCCGCTGGTCATGTTTTGACAGCTAGTTGGCACACTGCCTTATTCTGTAAACATTTTCCGTGTAAAAGCACCTTGTCCAACACAGGTTCATTTAGTCACACTGAGCTCAGTAGTACCTGTGACTCTCTCAGCAAAGGACTGCTTTCTGGCTGTTCGAATGCACATCACAGCCTCTTGGTCCTCGGAGACACATAGACAACACTGTGCTCAAGGGTTACTTAAAACAATGAAATCAACAGCAAAATGTTCCAAAGAGGACTTCTAGGATAACGGTTTACAGAATAAGAGCTGAACAGACACAGTAAAACAGAGCATTGCTTGTAGTACCTCTGTAGAAGATGCGTACCAATTCACTCGGATTTTTCAATGGTCTTCAGATGTTTTGTGCATTGATTATAGGGTGACAGGCAATGAATCACAAAGTAGGATATTACAGAGGAGAAGGATCCATGGTGCGCACATCTAGGTCAGAGCATCAGTAGAGGACTAGCTGTGAACATTTCAGAACATCCCTAACACACCACGTGGCAGCTTCGATGAGAATGGCCATCACAGGATCATAGGTGTGAGTCCTGTGTCCCCAGTTCATGAACTGTCTGAGGATGAGGAGGCGTGGCCACGTTGAAGGAAGTGTGTCCCCGGGAGTGGGTTTTGAGGTTTCAAAAACTCACAGAAGCCCAGTCTCTCTCTCTCTCTCTCCCCCTCTCTCTCTCTCGCTGATGTCCGCTTATCAGGAGGTAAAGCTCTCAGCTGCAGCTCCAGCACCGTGCCTGCCTGCACTGCCATGCTCCTTGCCATGATGATAACGGACCAACCCGCAGACACTGCTAGCAAACCCACAATTACATGCTTTCCTTTGTAAGAGTTGCCTTGGTCATGGTGTCTTTTCACAGCAATTAAACAGTACCTAGGACACACCAGAATCGATTCTGGGCATTTAGTAGGTATTGCTAATCTAGCCACCAGGACAGCTTATTGGATGGATGTTGGTTAAGGGGATGGATGCGCTTAAGGATAGGAAAGATTTCTTCTGGCTCACGGTTTCGAAAGTATCAGTTTATTGTGGAAGGGAAGACAGGGTGAAACAGAGAGCAGTTCCCATCTTGGTGATCAGAAAGCAGAGAAAGGGAAAGGGACGCGAAACCTGCTAAATAGTCCTCAAAGTCACAGCCTCAGGACCTACCTCCTCCTCCGGGTAGACCCCACTTCCCAGAGTTTCTTCCACCTACCAAGATAGCACCGTGGGTTGAGCAGCAAGCCCCTGGCGCTCGAGCCACATTCAAACCATAGCAAGCTAACGGTTTTTGTGTTCCTGTTTTACAAATGAGACACCAGACGAGAAAGATGTAAGCACCATATGTTCTTAGCAACTAGACTGATTTCTCAAATCACTCACATTCTAAAACTAGCCTCAAAGCATCATGGAACCAATTGGAAAACTCGCATGAATATGCAAGAAGAAATGGAGAATTCAAAGAACTATTGTGTTTGTGACTTGGCAGCTGCATCAAGCTCAGCTCCCCATGTGTGCAACAGAGGAAGGCCTTGAGGATGCCTCTGGAGTTGGGGACATTGCTGGGAATGTTTAAGTGGCTCTGTGCTTAGGCATTAGTGTCTCCACAGAACTTCCTGTCTCATTTTCCTTTAGGCACTTTTGATTCCTGAGCCAGCCTCCAAGAAATACCTCACACTGTAAATGGGGCCACAACAGAGTCCTTATTTCTTCAGGTTCCATCTAGAGTCAGGCTGTCCCTATAAAGAGCTAGCTGAGGGAGAACTCAGGAAAGGAAAGGCCACCCATGCTTTTACAGAAGTTCTACTTCTCTGATCATTCTGGCATGTTGAGCCAGCTCATGTGGGTGGCTGAGGTGCTGTGAATTAGGATAGCAAAGGGTTTTAGAGGACAAACTCCGCCAAGGCTGCCCACACCTCAGAGATGTCCCAGTGTTGTGCTTAATCTTAGTGGTCGACTTGACTGGATTCAGAAGCACCTAGGACTTTATAAAATGTGATATTTCCAGAGATGTTTAGATCCTGATGGGTCTGACCTAATAAAAGCATTAATCCCTTGATGGACTCGTAATACAAGCACTCATAACTGGGGCATTGAAAGGTAGGGGGTAGACTACTTAGAGGAAAGGGTTAATGGGTGGCCTATCTTTGGAGGCTCTATCTTTCCCTGGGCCCTTCCTGTCTACCCTTTTCTTTGCTTCCTGGCTGCTGTGGCATGGTGTGCTCTGTTTTCCCACACCCTTCCCAGCATGACAGAGTGACATCTCTGAGACTACGTGTCAGAATAGTCTTGTCCCTGATTATCTGGTCACAGCTACGTAAAAGGAACTAAGTGTGGGATCCCTGGCATGGCCACTCACTGGCACTCTTTTACTCTGCCCAAGGGCAGACGGTGCCTTCCCTCAGATGCTGCTCTTCCCTCTCAACCTTTAGGGTCAGGGGGAGACTGGAGAGCTTAGGGAACCCTGGGAGAGTCTGGATGACTCTGGATGACCTGATCCATCACTGAGTTCTAAATCAGCCCTCTTCCTCTCTCTCCTAGACTTCTTCCCTTGAGAAGTCACCCTACCTTAGGACAAGGAGATGCATGCTGACTCCCCTGAGTGAGCTGGGCAGTCAAGTTCTGTCCACTGCTTAGATGCCCCTCCTCAGCTTCCTGGCCTCTGCCACCTGTCCCGGGTCTGCTTCTGCCAGCAGGAATGTCCTACATCCCTGCTGCTTCTATCTGGGAAGGTGATGAACTCTTTAGGAGCTGCAGACTCGGGCATCTCACTGGAGGTGGGCAGGTTCGTAGCATCACCACACTTCCCGTGCTTGCTTTGCTTCCTGCCTGCGGACGGACTGCTCCTCCCCCCACGCCAGACCTTCCCAGCCACTGTAGGGTCTACCCCGCTGGAACTGTAAGCCAAAATGAACTCTTTCTAAGTTGTGTTGGTTGT